AACAATTTCCTAACTCTTAGCAACGGAAGAATGGAAGAAGAACGAAATCCTATTAATTAATACAAATCAATTAAGGTTATAACTCTAGAAACGGAAAAGTATTCCGTTTCTAACCTGTTTGTAGAACCAACGAGATTTGTTAATTAATTAAAATAATCGATTTGTTAATTAATTAGAATAATCTGATTAAGAAAACTAATATAACTAATCTAATTAAAAATTATTATATAATTTTAATCAATCCATAAAATTAAAATTTTTCTAATTAAAATAGGATTAAACTATTTTTAATGAACCAATAAAATATCAATAAAATTAACAGTTTCTTAAATAAAATATGACTAAATTATCGTTAAAAATATTTTTAATTAATTATTAAAATTAAAAATCTGTAAAAGTACTTATCACAAGAATCAGACATGATTGCAAACTTAATAATATAAAATTGACAAAAGTTTTATATAATAATTCTTGATAGTTAAAAACAACAAATTCTTGATAGGATTTGATTAAATTTAATCTAATCAATTATTTAGGATTAGATTAAATCTCCTAATAGAATTTAGATTCAAATAAAAAATTAATATAACCAATCAAAATTAAACTACTTTTATTTTTCAACCAATAAAATTAAAGTTTAATCAAAAATAATAAATTATAAGAATAAATAAGAAATTAATAATAACCAATAGAATTTAGATTTCAAATAAAAAATTATAAAAATTAACCAAATATAATTAATCTACTTTTATGATATATTCCAAACACCATAAATTATTAAAGTTATATCATAAACAATCTAGAATATAAATAATTACTTAAACTTTCCTATATCAGTTATCAATTCATAAAATTTTTATTATATAAGTTCATTTCAAATTTTTGAAATAAATATTTTTTTTTATTTAACACAATACTGTCTCATTCATGTATTTCTAATAGAATTTAGATTCAAATAAAAAATTAATATAACCAATCAAAATTAAACTACTTTTATTTTTCAACCAATAAAATTAAAGTTTCATAACTAGAATATAATAATTTTACTTTCCATATCGTTTCAATCATAAAATTTTATTTTTCATTCAATTTTGATATTTTTTTTTAACAATATTCATTCATTATGTCTACGTACATATTATAATATTTACAGTAAAACATTGATTAAAAAACACCTAATTAATATACTTATTTTTTTATTCAATAATCTATTATTATTTTTATTATATTATGGAAAAATCAATAAACTATATTTAGAAAAACATAAAAAAAGGGTAAGTATGACAAGTTTTAACGTGTAAAGCACATTCTTAATGCTAGTGTGTGTATATATATGCATACACACACAGAGTATAAATAATTTTTTTTTTAAAAAAAATAAAGCTAGATACCTTTTTTTTTATAATCAAAAGGTGTGATCCCTTTCCAGACGTAAAGCAGTAAATATTTTTTACCCTCTTAATAAAGTGTATTTTCTGAAATGCCACTTTTTCGTTGCTCCTCAACTTATTTAAGAAAATAACTTACCTTATTTTTCTAAATAATTTATTTTCTGCTATTTAGTATAAATATTAAAAATTAGTTAAAAATTTTAATTTATTTGACTATAAAATATATATCAAATTATAGACATCTAAAATTTTAAAATTTTGATATGAAAATTATGGACGTCACAGTAAGTCGTTGTAGCCCAGCTAAAACTAGCTTGCAGTTTTTTCTTTCATTTGTCGTTTTTGGTTGGCCAAAGCTAAAAATATTTCTTTTAACGACTCGAGGAGACAACTTCCACACGCATGCAATTTTGATAATAAAATATGGAGAATGGGTAGGTATAGCAGTCTCCAAATTTTGTGACTCAGGCTTCTTTTAAAAAGGCTACAGTACGTTTTTAAGTATTTAATTTATTATTAATTAATAAATAATTTTATACCATGCTATAAAAATATACAACTTTGTCTCTTGCTAATAAAAAAAATATAAATAAAATCAGTGAGAAACAATTCAATACCCTTTTGCTAGCTATAACAACAATTAATCGTGACTATTCCATGCTATGATATAATTTTATATCAATGCCAAGATATAAATGAACGAAAAATATAATTGATTAAATTCAGGTATGGTATAACTTTCACTTTAGCTAAATAAAATTTAAAAATTATGTTTTTAAATTGAGTAATTTAACACGATAGACTCATAAATAAAATAAGAATATATATGAATATTGTGAAAATGATATCAAATAAAAAAATATATAGACTGGGTAACAATTTGAAACTTGAACTCGCTATTGTTGGTAAAATTTTGTCTGAATATCACTGTTACTTGAACATAGAAATGTGTATATATGTATAGGGATTCTAATTTTCTCGATGAACTGAATATTTAAATTGACATTTAACTTATAAAGGGAGATACTTAATAAGGAAAAAAAATTACTATTTCATAACATTCTAATTTGTTTTTGGAATAAGGCGTAATTTGTTTCGTGAATTTGGAAGCAATATACAATTTATCAAAAAATTAATTTTTTATACAATTTATCTCATAAACTTGCACAAGAAAAAAAAATTAATTCTTTAAGAAAAGCTTAATTTTTACCAAAATGAAAATTTTACATAATTAAAAAATAATGAAATATTTGATTTACACAAAACATTAAACAAATAATGTATTTTAAAAAAAATATAACAACAGATTTGACAAAATGTAATTTTTTCCTTTAATAAATCAAATAATGTTGAATGACTTAAAACTTTTTTTATGATGTTTATTCAACGAACTAACGTGATCATGGATGACGAGATAATGTTAGGAAGCTACCTGGATCTTGTTTGGAAACTACACTTTTTCAACCAAAAGTTATTTATACCACTTGCTTGCATAAAATAAATTTGTAAATTTTGATCGTATCCTATAATATAAAAATAGTCTTCATAAAATATATAATAAAACAATTAAATTAACAGTAATTAGTCTATTACCTAATTATATATGACTAAAAATTTATCAATAAGTTTTCATCTCTCGCTCGGTAATTAAAGTCTAACGACTCTATTTCTAGCTATATAAACATTTTACGTTCAGTAATCAGTGGCAGAGTTAAAATTTAAAAAGAAATAGGTAAACTACTATAGGATTTTATTAATAGCATATGTGTAGAAATGAAGTGGGCAAAATGGTTAAAATTGTATTTAAAATTCTGCTTGCCAAGGTTCAAAGTAGGACGTTAGTAAAGAGTTTTTTTTTTTTTTTTTTTTTTTTTTTTTTTTTTTTTAGTGGGGCAAAATGGTTAAAATTTATATAAAATTCTGAACTTGCCAAGGGTTCAAAAGCTGTAGGTACGTTAGTTAAAGAGTATTTTTTTTTTTTTTTTTTTTTTTTTTTTTCTTTTTTAATTTTAATAGGGGGAGGAAAATTGACTATAACCTATAATAAACATAGTTTCCTCAATTGTCAGAATAATTAAAGGCTAACGATATATCTCCTAACTATAAAAACAGCCTCAATACAAACATCGATAACCAATATTCTTTTCATAAACCAAATATTTCCTATAGATAAAAATTCTTCTGAGTTTTTTTAAAAATAATCAATGAGAGAATAGAATAAACCCTTACAACATATCCGATTACAGAATTACTCTAGTGGGTAACTCGAGCCTGGTTCATTTCTATGTCTCCTTAAAATTAATTTTTTTTTTTTTTTTTTTTTTTTTTTTTTTTTTTTTTTTAATTTTTATAGGAGGGGGAAATTGCTTCCTTTAACATAGTTCCTCATTGTCGATAATTAAAGCCTAACGACTATATTTCTAACTATAAAACACCCTCAAATACACGTAACATATTCTTTTCTAAACCATTTTTCCTATGATAAAAATCTCTGATTTTTTAATATCATGGAGAATAGATAAATTCACTATCGATACAGAAGTACTCTGTGGGTAACTCGAGCCTGGTTCATTTCATGTCTCCTTAAATTAACTGTACCTGAGCTAACATTTGAAGTAAAATAATTACTTGGAAAACTTGATACAATTTGCTGGAGCCGTCAAGGAAGGAAGAAGCCAAGCAAAGGACAGCTCATAGTCGCCAACCAAAAGGGGAAGCAGAAAATGACACTAAAATTAAGCTAAGAAAATAAAAATAAAGAAGAGCAAGAAATTCTATGGATCCAATTCACTTTTATGCCATAATCCAATCACCTTCAAGAAATAGGTAAAGCAGGAATTTAAAATGCGAATTAGCTGTGCCATTTGCAACTGATACATGTCAGGTTTGGTTTGTCTGATATGTAGTATATGCTTTTTTTTTCCAACCACTCACTAATATATTATAAAACTTGCCAAAACTATTATCAAGTCTTGGAGATAAGTGATATGGTCCCATGCATGTGTCTTCCTGCAGTCAGCTTAGAAAATATCATGCAAATGTTAGAAAGACCATGGATGGGTCTTTGTCACCTCGGGTTAGCAATTCTCAATTTCAAACTTAAAAATTGAATCAAACTGACTCGTTAGTCGGATTTAGATAATTATTTTAAAAATTTAGTTACCGATCGATTTAGGTATATAAAATTATTTAGTTTTTAATTTTTAATTTGGTTACTAAATATAACTAATTAAATTTATTTTTAAATTTAAAATAGTTAATTTCATTTGAAATAAATAAACCAAATCAATTTATTTCAATTTGAATCGATTATTATACTATTTAATTTTAAATTTAGGTATCATAAAAATATATTTGAATAAATCGAAACCTAAGCTAATTCGATCTTATTAACTAAATGCTCATCCTTGTTTGTCATGCCATCAATGGTGAGCAATTGTGTCGCAACACTATCATATGTCACAAGTGACATCACCTATTAACTTGGCCAAGAAGATTAATTTGCTTAGCTTTGTCAGCCTGCCTTTGCCGACTTTCTCGTCCTTGAAAGCTACTTGTTCATTTTTTTATCATTTTACATGTTTACTGCTTCCACATACAGGGAATTTCTGTTTAGTGACAATATATACATTCTTTTTTACTACTTTTTATAAGAGATATTTTCCAGCAAATTTCACTCTTCTTTCCTTATAACCCATCTCCATAAAACCTCCATCAAAAGACAGTTCTGATAGATTCCAAGAATGATTCATTTGCAGGAAGGAGATATGTTTACTAAAGTAGGATCAGTAATTGCTAGTTTTATGTTTGTTTGGGCTATGTTCAAACAATACTTTCCTTATGAACTCAGAGACCGTCTTGAAAAATACACTCAAAGAGCCTTCACTTTTGTTTACCCTTACATTCAAATTACCTTCCATGAATTCACAGGTGAACGCCTAATGCGTAGTGAAGCATATTCCTCCATTGAAACTTACCTGAGCTCCAGTTCTTCGATGCAGGCGAAACGTCTCAAAGCAGAAGTAGTAAAAAACAACCAGTCCCTTGTTCTTAGCATGGATGATCATGAAGAAGTAGCTGATCATTTCAATGGGGTAAAGCTATGGTGGGCGTCTGGAAAAAATGTTTTGAAGACGCAAACATTGTCTTTTTATCAGATTACAGACGAAAAAAGGTATTATAAGCTAAGATTTCATAAAAAGCATAGGGAACTGATTATTGGACCTTACCTTAATCATGTGTTGAAAGAAGGTAAGGCGATTAAGATTAAGAATCGACAGCGCAAACTTTATACTAATAATGGGTCCTATTGGAGTCATGTAGTGTTTGAGCATCCTGCAACTTTTAAATCGTTAGCCATAGAGGCGACAAAGAAGAAGGAAATTATAGATGATTTGATTACTTTTAGTCAATCAGAAGAGTTCTATGCAAGAATTGGTAGGGCATGGAAAAGGGGTTATCTTCTTTATGGTCCGCCTGGAACTGGTAAGTCTACTTTGATTGCAGCTATGGCAAATCTTTTGAATTATGATGTTTATGATCTTGAATTAACTTCTGTTAAAAATAATACTGAATTAAGAAAGTTATTGATAGAGGTGCCTTATAAGTCTATTGTAGTTATTGAGGATATTGATTGTTCTCTTGATCTTACTGGTCAAAGAAAGAAAAAGAAGGAGAAAGAAGAAATGGGTAATAATAATGGAAATGAAGAAAAACCCAAAACAGTAAAAGAAGAAAGAGATGACAGAAGTAGTCAAGTTACTCTTTCTGGTTTATTGAATTCTGTTGATGGGTTATGGTCAGCTTGTGGAGGAGAAAGGATAATTGTTTTTACAACAAATTTTATAGAGAAACTTGACCCAGCTCTTATTAGGAAGGGAAGAATGGATAAGCACATAGAACTGTCTTACTGTAGTTTTGAAGCTTTTAAGGTGTTGGCTAATAATTACCTTCAGATTGATACACACCAACTGTTTGATAAAATAAGTGACTTATTGGAGGAAACTAAAATGACACCTGCTGATGTCGCCGAGCATTTGATGCCTAAGACTGTTCCTTCCAATGCCGATGTTTGCTTGGAGAGTCTTGTTGAAGGCCTTCAAATGGCGAAAGAGGAAGCGAAGTTGAAAAAAGAGGAAGAAGCAAGAGAGAAGGCGGAGGAAGCAGCAACAGCAACAGCAACAGCAAATGGAGAAGCTAAATTGGAAGAAAATAAGGATTCAGTATCAGGCAAAGAATAGAGGAGGGAGAAAATTATTTTTTCTCCAATCTTGTGGCTCCATTTCAATTGTTATTAATGTAACCTAGTTCTTTTTTCAGTTAATGCTGTGTCAAAATCTGAATTAAAAAAGAGCAAATGTTGTCTTGGTTAGCCTATACAAGCAAAGAGAAGGAAAAGAAGGTAGACAAGCAATCGATAATCACTTCAAACATAATTATTAATACAAGCAAAAGAGAAGGAAAAGAAGGCGTAGACAAGCAAATCGATAATCATAATCGATAATCACTTCAAACATAATTATTAACTTAGATAAAAAGGCTATTTATCGTTTCATTACAGATTATAATCTCTTTCCAAGCAGTACAAAACTGTTCGACAAAATGCCACAATGAACTAGGAACGAAGAAAAGCGACAAGCTATCACGTGCAAAATAGATAGAATTATAATCCCTAGAGTTATAGATCTGCTTTCAGTTGTCTGAACCAAAAACTCAGCAAAAAAATTATCCATATTACTGAATTGCTACTGAAAGAAAATCTTCATCATCATGGGGTAATGCTTGTTTACACAAAGATTATCCTTGATGTGACAGATTATGCTGCTACTGATTAAAAAAGATAATTAGGAATATACAAATATTTTATTATTGAAGAAAATGATATTGAAAGGATAGATTAGTCATGGAAAATATTTGATTGTGCATCAGGGGTCCTCTGTTCTATGAAATTATCAAGACACCACATCCTTTTTCTTTTCTTTTCTTTTCTTTTAAAAAAAAATAAAAAAGAAAAATCAATTGTCAATTTTTATACTCTATCAATTACTAATAGATAGCAAGTGATCCCTGTCTTAGTGGGGAGGGTGATGCCCTGGGATCTCCAGTTAAATCCTTAATAATGTAAAATGTAATTTCAATTAGTATTCTTCCCCTTAAGGTTGTACCACCCCTTATGGGCTTGTAACTATTGTAACTACCGCCGATAATGCAGAGCATAGAAGTTTTATTATATATATAATATTGAATGACAAAAAAAAAAAAAAATTAATATATAAATATTGAATGACAAAAAAAAAAAAAAAAAATAGATAAAAACACATGAAAGAATCTTTTAATAAAATTGGACAACGGATACGGTGAAGCCCCCGAGATACATTAAAATATAAAGGCCTAATGCTTAGATTTGGCCAAATACCTCATTTAATCCCTGGATTTTGACAAAAAGGAATGATAAAAAAATTTTGTAGCACCTGAACTTCACTTTTTTTTAATAATTTCACACCTCCTTACACTAAAAAACAGTAAATTTTAAGGCTTTTTAGCTTTTCTATGCAAAATATTGTTGTGATATGTGGTTAATACAACTTTTGGAATAATAATTTTACATTTTTTTTTAAGGCTTAATGACAAAAACAACCTGAACTTTGACTTTTTTTTCAATTCTAGCCAGTTTTTTTTTTATTTTTTATCAATTAATACCGCGTATTTAGTTTTTTTTATCAATTTTAACCTCCGTTTGTACCAATTTCATGCTAATATGGCAATTATCTTCCACAAGTAGGCTCTACAACATCTAATGTCAGCGTCAAGTCATATATCCATATATATATAAAAAAAAGCCGAAACTTTAAGGTTTTTATCAAATTTGGCCAGTTCTTTTAATTTTATCAATCAATATCGCATATTAATTAATCTCCATTAACTGATTTGGTTATATTGATATTTATTCAATTCTCTCCATTAACTGATATTGGTTTATTTGTGATATTTACTTCAATTAAAATAGTTTATTAATTAACTGTGTATAATTAAGTGTATAATGCGGATTTAATCAATTATAATTCTTAATTAACTGTGTATATTAAGTGTATAATGGGATTAATCAATTATAATTCAATTTTACTATAGAGTCTTTTTTAAAAATGTTATTTTTAAACTATTTAAAAATATTATCAATTAGTATATTTAAAAATAACATTTTTAAAACTCTTCAGTAAAATTGAATTCTAATTAATTAATCCCATTATACACTTAATATACATAGTTAATTAATAAACTATTTAATTGAATAAATATCAATATAACAAAATCATTTGATTGAGATTAATTAGTATATGGTATTGATTGATAAAATTAAAAGAACTGGCCAAGTTTGATAAAAATCTTAAAGTACAGGTTTTTTTTTTTAATATATGTGGATATATAACTTGGCACTGGCATTGAATGTTATAGGGCTCACTCGTGAGAGATAATTGCCATATTAACATGAAATTGATGAAAGACAAACGAAGGCTAGAATTGATATAGAAAACTAAGTACATGGTATTGATCGATAAAAATTAAAAGAATCGGTTAGAATTGATAAAAAAAAAGTCAAAGTTTAGGCCTTTTTTGTCATTAGACTTTTTTTTGTTCTTTTTAATTTTCAAATAAGTGTTCAATTGATTTAATTTTATAAGTTGAGGTGTTCAATGGATCAAATAAAGTATTTAAAAAGCACAATCTCATAATTTAAAGTGTTCAATGAGCCAAAACAAAAGTTGAGATGCTACAAAATTTTGTAAAAAGTACATAAATGAATTTATGTATTAAGCCATCTAAATTTTACAAGGATCAATTGTGCCCACTAAAATTATGAATTTTAGTAAAATAAACATTTCTCCATACTATCAATAATAGTTTTTAGTATTTTTAACTTTCATATATAGATTATTTTTGCGGCATAATCCAATAAATGGGTAATTAAAGAGGTATTTAATTAAAATCATATTCCATTTCCAATTGAAACGGCATGTAGTCTTTATATCCAAGTAATGAATAAAATAAAGCTTGGCAAAAAAACTATTATTAATTGTTCAGGATAAGCACACTATGGTCAGTGGTCACATACTTTTGTCTTCTGTAGTCAGCTTAGGAAATTCCATGGAATGCTAGAAATAGCATGACATCAAATTCAATTACAACACAATCATATGTCACAAGTCATCACATCTCCTGAATAATTTAGTTAGAAGATTGACTAGTCTAAGCCTGCCTTTTCCCTAACTTAATTTTATTAATTTAATATCATATCATTATATATAATAAATGAGAATCATGGATTTTTATCGGATGTTAACATGACACTTTCTTTGAAGAGTGAGCCTCTAATATTTTAGTATTTGTATTTAACGAATTGGAGAAAAAATTGTAAATTTTTGAAGAAAAAACATATTTTTCATTAAAAATTCTCTCTCTAATTTATGAGAGAATTTTAAATACAACGACTTCTAATATCCTTTGTTATTAATTTTTTATGAGTTTGTTAAACAATGTTTTCTTTCAATTAATTTATGATGTATGTTTTGAATTTGACAAGATGATTTTTCAATAATATATATAGATTAGCTGGGAAAGTGCTAAATTGAAACAACCCGAATTTTTATTTTCAAATATTTTTCAATTAAATTTAATAAACTGACAGCCTGGAAATGTATTTAATTATTTAACGAATTTTTATTTTCAAAGATTTTCCATTTTAATTTAATAAACTGACAGCCTGGAAATGTATTTAATTATTTAAATGCAAATTAATAATTCGTACAGTGATAAACCGAATCAAAAACCATTTGAAAAATCAAAAATCAAACGAAAAACCAAGATTTGAGCTGAATCGAATCAGAATTGAATCGAACCAGTCCAAACCTTCTAGAAGCCCTCTTTCTTTTTATCTCCACGCTTATCCCATTCCCTCTCCCTCACCATTTCTACAACACCTCCAGCGGCACCATTACGCCACCACTTCCTCCTCTCTTTTTCCTTTTCTTTTTCTTTTCTTTTCCCTGTGACTGCGTCTGCATCACGTCCCAGCAGCTCCAGCAGAAACGCAAGCCACCAGCACGAGCTCAGCCGCGTCGCGCCACCTCGCCGCTGCTCCACACTGCAGTAGCTCCGCCATTGCCGACGCCTCTCTCCGTTCAAGCCAAGCAGGGACAGAAGGTTGCTCCTCCCCTGATCTGTCCAAGTGAGCATCGATCTCAGGTGGTCCAGTCGCTTCCAACACGCGTAGTTTCGATCTGGCACGCGTAAAGCTCAGATCTAGCGATCTGCGACGAAAAAACTAATTAATTTTGCGGTATAAATTAATGTTAGTAAATTTTTAGTTAATTAAATTAATTTTAGAAATTTTTAACTAATTAATTTAATTTAATTAAAAATTTATATTTTGGGGTAAAAATTAATTTTAAATAATTTTAGTTACTTGAATTAATTTTATTATTTGTAGTTATTAATTTAGTTCATTTAATTTTTAGTTATTTTGCGTAGTTTAATTAATTTGTTAGTTAAAATTAATTCAAAATGGTTATTGATTAATTAACATGAAGTAATTATTGATTAATAAAAACAATAGTTAGTTAAAATTAAATTCAGTATGAAATAATTTATTGAGGAATTTTGATAATAATATGATTTATGGAATTAAAGAAAAATTAATATAGTTGATGTGGATAAATGTGGAGGACGGGAAAAAATTAAATTGATGGAGGATGGAAAATTTAATTGATTGATTGACCGATGGATGGGCCGGATTTGGAGTTATTAGATAAAATTATTGATATTTTAAACAGGTGGAAAGTCCAATTTTTAGGGGAGATGTTGTCGAAATTTCGGTAGAAAATAAAATGAATTGCGGTAGCAAATAAAATTTATTATAGAAATTTAATTAATTATAGAGAGTAAATTATTGATAGAAATTAAATAGGTTAAGAATAGTAGTGTGATGAATAAATATTTTTCTTGATCATTATTCTTTTTTTTCCGATGTCATTTTTACTTTTTGCTTAGATCGCTCGGTCACATCTAGTGCTCTCCGGATAGAAATCCAACCGCTAGAGCTTCGTTCTCCCAACCACAGTGAGTAATAATAAATAATGCATATCAACACTGCATATGCATAACTATTTATTCCTAAACATTATGTTTTTTATTTAGCATATTTACAAATATAATTACAAGTATTTTAATCATATATATTAAGTTACGATCAATTATATATTATACTTATATATATTGTGGCATTTGGATGAAATTGGTGTAATACGTTGAAAGAATTGTTTGATTACTTGTGCTGGTGCATATTACTGTGCCTTGTTTGTGTGGAATTAAGGATGAGTGGG